ATGATGATGATGATGATAATTGTGGTGATAACTGATGATGATGATGAATATAGAGTTTCGCATGATGTGATTGGAGGAACAACCAGTGATTATGAGACAATATACTCTGCGTTCGGTGAATAATCGTTAAAAATAAATATTAAAAAAATAATTTTGTTTAACCTACCTTCACATTTGGGTGGTGTTGTTTTCCATTTTCCCTTGTTATTGCATTCGGTTACACTCTGCCCCTCCATATCATATCCAGGGAAACACCAATATCTCACAGTGGCTCCAACACGGTATATTTTTTTATCGCCGTTATTATTACCATATTTAATATCTCCAGGATGCTTGCAAAATATTCCTTGAAACGAAATCAATAGGCCGGTCGTGTGTTTAGTACAAGGCACTGCAGAACTCATCAGGATTGACCATATGATTCATACACAACTTGTATTACCTCTCCCACTCCTTCTTTTCAACCCTCTACCTTCTGCCTTTTTACCTTCCTTTTTTCTTCGAGTTCCGGTTCTGTCTCTCTTCCTCCATTTCTGTCTCTCTCTGTCTCTCCCAAGCACTAATTAGTTATCAATTAATTAATTATTATTAATTAATTATAACTCTCACACACGTACATCAAATGTTTTAAAATGAAATAGGACTTACTACATTTTGTAGCCTTTCCATCCCACTTTCYAATACCTCTGCAGACTCGTTTCTTCGATCCTCGTAGTGTATACTGATCCCCTTTACAAGAAAAACGGGCAACACTTCCAAATTTGGTGCCGTCGCTCAATCTCACACGTAGAGCTTTGGGGGTATCAAGATTTCCACAATCCGTACCTGCATAATTGAATAAAATAAGCAATCATAAAATCGTTCAAGGCTGTTGTACAGGCTATCTCATTGTCGAACTTTCACCACCACAATCATCACCAGTTCCACGACGACCACTGCCACTACCATCATCATCACCATCATTATCATAATCTCCGCCACCACCACCACCACCACCATCACCAYCAAGATCATCATCGTCATATCATCTTCACCATCACTATCTTCACCTCCATCACCACACCATCACCACCAAGATAGATCATCATCATCATCAATTCATCTTCACCATCATCGGCCTAATTATCATAATCATCAACAACGTTAACACCGTCACCATCATCATCTTCAACTCCACTACAACCACCATCATCATCTTTAACATATCAGCATTATCTCCACCGCAACCACCACCATCTTCAATATCATCATCTTCACCGCCAACACCACCACAGCCATCATCTTCAATATCATCATCTTCACCGCCACCGCCACTACCATAATCGTCGACTTAATCCTCATAATCATTGACAACGTCAACACCACTACCACTAGCAACATAATAGGCAGATAGGCTTGGGTATAGTATGCACAAACAATGATGACTTTACATACCATTTTGAACGCAGCTTAAGCCACAGTCTCCGTCACACAAACATTGTTCATTGGCTCTACAAYCGCTGTCTGAGGTACATTGCCGATCCAAACAGTACCTGAAGGGCTTCTTATTGGTACGTCTACACTTCTGAGCTTTCACCGGCAGTGTGTCTGTAAATACGTAACACAATAACAGAAACACACACGACTGTATTGGTCTAAGAGTGTAAATGTCTAAATGTCTAAATGTGTGAATGTGCAAATGTCTTTTTTTGGTGGACAACGTTAATGACATTGACTGTATGTATATAATACTTTGTATCGTCCCTTGGCTCAGTTTCCAAGTCTATAACTAACTCACCACCCTAGAGTCAGACAGTAAGACAACGTACTCGTATTWCTYGTACCYTGGTTGTTCTTCTTAATTAATTCCATAGATGCTTTGTGGTCGCAGTTCGAACCCAGRTTCCCATTTAAACAGCGCCGCCCTCAAATAATTTCCGCCTCCAAATAAGCGCCAAACAAACGCCACAACCGAAACACTAAACATTTGAAGAGCTTAAATAGGTATTGTATATTTATTATTTACTTGTTTTTATCGTTTATTCTATATGTAATATCATACGTTTTACCATATATTTTTATTATCTATATTTTTCTATGCATACTTTTACCATATTACTTTTTTCGTATTATTTGTACCTTAGTCATTTTCGAGAATTGTTCAGATATATAGCCACTTAGTGGATATGCTGAAATATAGTTATTATTATTATTATCATTATCATTATATTTCGAAGTAAATACCGTTGTTTATTGTGCTGAAAACCTGTTACTATAGGAAAATAATATTGAGCTATCGCTAATAAGCCAGTTCGTTGTTTAAGAATCGTTTTCATTGCACCTTCTTTTGTATAATCAAGAACAGAAGAAGGTTTAAACAAAAGAAAGTGAGAATACGGGATAAAATCGCATGCGCACTGAAGACGATTCTTAAACTATGAACTTCGGATGTAGAAAAGCCAAATTAGGAGATATAATATTCCTTATTAATTTACTCTTAATACCTTGAAAGTAGAGTAAGATACAAATCACGAAGATGCAGATCCTTCCAGGACCCATGACGGGTCTTTAAATGTAATTCTATCGTATTCGTTGCATTTTTAATAATAATAACTATTATTAGAATGTTTTCAGCTTGTAAAGAGAGAGAGATATTTGTTTGGGCGATGACCACAGGAAGTCGGTGTCAAGATTGTCATAAAAAAGCCAAAAAAAAACTTCCCCGCCACAATCTCTTGAGCACAAGTTTCGTGATAGGATGAAAATCTAGAAACATTTCAMTTTGCTTTTGCTGTAAATAGATAAAAAAAGCGCTGAATCTTTTCGTGATTGGATGAAAATTCTCGAAAAAATTCATTTCGCTTTTACTCCAGTGTTTTAACAATTTAATTGGCTTGGCAGTTATCTATTTTAAGAGGAAATGCTTTTCAATAACAAGCAATAATGGCAAAAAGCGCCAAAAACTAGACTTTCGTATGAGTTTTGATCCCAATTTTCGTTTTGGGTTAACACTCAAAACCTTTTTCAAACAGTTAGAAACTGATGTACTATGATAAAATGATTGTTTGAAGCGGCATTTTCAATTGTACAAAGATGTTTTGTTGCATTTGTGAAATAAGCAAATGAAGGCCTAAACCTCATTTTCGAATAAAATTTTTGCTTTCATCGGTAATCTCCACTTCCAAACAAGTTAAACTTTCTGAATAACAAGATTTTAGCCTCGCACAACAGCCTTTCTTCAAGAAAATAGTTTTTGGCGCTCACTGCTTGAATGCGAAAAAAAACTCTCTCTTAAATTAATTAACGAGAACCCATTCGACTGCTCGCTCAAAACCTGGCATCAAAGTCAACCGCCGACAATTCAACATCCATCGAAATGGCGCGACTTTGTTTTCGCAACAAGTATAGTCACGTAACTTTAGGCCGAGCTCGGCGGCGAGTTGATTGACTGATGGAAGGGTTTTTTTCTCGCGCCCAGAGAAATTAGAGAAAAGTAAAGACGCACGAAGAAAGCACGTGAATTCTGCTTTGAAATCAAAGTATTCTATAAATGCTTGCGGGTCATGAGAGTCTGCAATATTGCTACGGCCACCTGTATCTTTCAAGACGCTATCCCTCAGATCACTGCATGGTAACAGATCTTTAAAGCTCAGTTTGTTTTCAAAAAGATCTGGATAAAAATCGGCGTACCAGTTGACGGACTCGGTGACAATGACAGCAGAAGTGTTGAGTGGATTCAGCAAAGGCTTCACTAAGGCTAACAGTGTTCGCAGCGGAATGAAATCCCACAAGTTTGACATCATAATTCTGTCATATGTCATTGCTTCTGGTAGGTAAGGTGTGACGTCAGTGCAGTTGCTCAAGATGATTGACAATTGAATGTCATCATTCTGCAGTCGTGCAGCACACTTTCTCAGAACGTCAGTGATGTAGTTATTGTACATTTCATTCGCACACTTCACTTTAGGATAAACAACACTGACAACTTTATAGTCCCATCCCTGGTAGGGAAAGCTACATCCGGGGATCGAATATTCAAATGAACCTGTATTTTTTTCATACTGCAAGGACGAGCCAGTCAAGGTAAAGTTTTCTTTTGTCAGGTTTTTTCTGCTGGTTTTAGGCAAAAGTAAGCCCTTTTTGTACCAGTCATTGACGGACGTACGATGTTTAGGTGGCATCTTTCCAAGATAGGAATCAACTCCCCAGCTCTCTTCAATACACTCTTTAACCAACGACCGCCTTTGCTGCTCTTGAATGTCAATATTTTTCCCAGAAAGGTCGAGCCACGTTTTCCAGACCTTTTTGAGCCTGTTGAATTGGTCAGCGTCCATCTTCATGGTGCCATACGTGATGACCTCGAGGTTGGATATTTGTATCAAGTCACGCAAGCCGGCCACGACAAACTGATGGTCTTCCTCGCTTAGATACAGTGAATACCATATCTGGGTTACAGACCCTGCTTTACTCTCACCACCTGAAATATGTACGAGAAACACTACTCTTATATTATGATTATAAATATATACTGTAACTATAAACACAAAGAAAACTATTCAGAGAAATAGAAGAAAGTCTGCGAATACATATGTATATTGTATGATGTCTAAGCACTCTTCACTTAGCAATAAATAGTGAACTGACTCACCTTTACAAAGAAGATACAGCAACAGCACAGTTCTAGCAAGTGTACAAGAACAGATGTCGTTCATCACGAACGTAACTTTGCCTTTATATTCTGCGTCTTGTAGTTTGCTTATGGTAAAACAAACGTTCCTCGGATCACCAACTCCACACAGAAGAAGTGACAAAGGTTCCGTGTATCCCATCCCTTCATTCATGGGAAGGTTTAACAGATCGAGTGCAGGAGAATTACCCCAGTAATAAGTGACAGGCATGCCCACTGGTATGCTATCAAGCCAATCGTATTTCTCTTGTACCTTCGAACAAAGTCGAATGATCGATTTTGAAACCTCTTGACATTCTTCTTTGTGGCTTTGCCAAGCTTTTACTTGACACTGTCTATCGCAGAACCAGACCTTCATACAGTTGGTGCACAYCTTCAACTGTGTTGTCTTCTTCTTCTTACATCCATGGCAAACATATCTTACAGCAACATCTTTACATTCGATTCTGCTGTGCCTAAACTCRTCGTTGATCCTACATCGATCAGTGCAGTAATACGCCATACCACAAGCGCCACACTTCTTGCCTTCGCTTGTAACCTTGTCACATCGCCAACACTGGAACTTCGAATACATTTTTACAGGAATGAATGATCAAACTTATAGATCTGTTACATGGGAAAGATTTCTAATATGTTATATTGGCACAAGATGCCAAGACACACTGTCACCAATTCACCTTTACGGCGCTAGCCGTCACGTGGTATAAATTGTGTTGGATTGCGTTACGGTCACTCAGTGAATTTGTATGGGAATCCGAGAACGATGTCCAAACTTCTTGGTGACCGTAACACAATTCAACACAATTTATACCACGTGACGGCTAGCGCCGTAAAGGTGAATCATACATGAATAATATTAACATCTTGATAAGATTGAAAATCATTTCCCTTATATGGACTTCCGGTGAATGAAAAAAATTCAAGTACGGTAGTCAAAACAAGAAAGTAGCAAAGCTGCTCCTGTACTGGGATAATCTACATAGCACTCAGTTGATGTATTCAGAAAATCTATTGTATTTTATTGTATTCTATTGTCGTTCTATGATAACTCGAGAAAAACTTTTAAAAAGTTACAATTGAAAAACTATTTGGTTGTGTGTGATTTCCAGGTGAATGAATGTAGTCTTGGGAAAGACTGTTGTTGGTGGTGACTGACAGTTTGCTGTGAAGTGTAATGGTCCAGGTGAGTGTAGTCTAGAGAAAGACTGTTGTTGGTGGTGACTGACAGTTTGTTGTGAAGTGTAATGGTCCAGGTGAGTGTAGTCTAGAGAAAGACTGTTGTTGGTGGTGACTGACGTTTCGACAACCTGAGCGGAAGTCGTCTTCAGAGTCCAGTGAGAAAACAAGAGAAAAACTATTATTAAATATCTTCAATTATAATATATAATACGTTCACTAACTGTAATGGAGGTTTTTGCAAACACTGTATGGATACCTGTACTTCCGGTATGAAAATTTATCACTGCTTGACGTCATTGTTTCTTTCGTACAATTCCCAGAAATCATTAGCATATATAAAAGATCTTAAAATAAACATTTCCCAAGAATTTTCACTGACAGTGCAAATTGAAATTCTTTTACAGGAGATCATATTATTCAGGTTAAATTTTATTTGCATTGATCAAGATGTATTCAAAGTTCCAGTGTTGGCGATGTGACAAGGTTACAAGCGAAGGCAAGAAGTGTGGCGCTTGTGGTATGGCGTATTACTGTACTGATCGATGTAGGATCAATGATGAGTTTAGGCACAGCGGTAGCGAGTGTGAAGATGTCGCTGTAAGATATGTTTGCCATGGATGTAAGAAGAAGAAGACAACACAGTTGAAGATGTGCACCAACTGTATGAAGGTCTGGTTCTGCGATAGACAGTGTCAAGTAAAAGCTTGGCAAAGCCACAAAGAAGAATGCCAAGCAATTTCTAAAGCAACGATAGAACTTGGATCTCGACTCAACGGGATCAATACCATTCGAATGGCTAAACCAGGGATGTCACAGCTTTATTACTGGGGCAACACTCCTGCAATTGATCTGTTAAACCTCCCCATGAATGAAGGGATGGGATACACGGAACCTTTGTCACTTCTTCTGTGTGGAGTTGGTGATCCGAGGAAAGTTTGTTTTACCATAAGCAAACTACAAGACGCAGAATATAAAGGCAAAGTTACGTTCGTGATGAACGACATCTGTTCTTGTACACTTGCTAGAACTTTGCTGTTGCTGTATCTTCTTTGTAAAGGTGAGTCAGTTCACTATTTATTGCTAAGTGAAGAGTRCTTAGACATCATACAATATACATATGTATTCGCAGACTTTCTTCTATTTCTCTGAATAGTTTTCTCTGTGTTTATAGTTACAGGATATATTTGTAATCATAATATAAGAGTAGTGTTTCTCGTACATATTTCAGGTGGTGAGAGTAAAGCAAGGTCTGTAACCCAGATATGGTATTCACTGTATCTAAGCGAGGAAGACCATCAGTTTGTTATCGCTTGCTTGCGTGACTTGATACAAATATCCAACCTTGAAGTCATCACGCATGGTATCATGAAAATGAACGCTGAACAATTCAGCAGTCTCAAGAATGTCTGGATAACTTGGCTACATCTTTCCAGGAAAGAATTCGATATCTTTGGGCAACGACGTCAACAGTTTGACAACGATAGAAGCGCAGCATATGGGATGAAAAGCTACATCGAGGAAATCCCGAGGAAACATCAGAGATCTGCTCAAGAGTGGTTACAAAACGGTATGCTTTGCAGTGAGCAAAACAGGAAGAACCTGACAAAAGAAAATTTTACCCTCATGGGATCTTCCTTTCAGCTCGATTCGAACTCAGGATCCTACGAATATGGCGTACCAACCGATTCTTTCCCCTTCAACGGCTGGGATTACAGAATTGTCAGTGCAATGTACCCTAAAACCAACTCCTTGACTGTGATGTACAATAACTACATCACTGATGTCCTGAGAAAGTGTGCTGCACGACTACAGAATGATAACATTCACCTGTCATTCATCTTGAGCAACTGCACTGACGTCACACCTTACCTACCAGAAGGTATGACATATGACAGGATTATGACGTCCAACCTGTGGGACTATATCCATCTAGGAGATCTATTGAAGTTTATGAAACCTTTGTTGAATGCACGAAACAAGTGGGCTGTGGTTGTCACCGAGACGCAAAACTGGATAAGACAACTTCCACTTCTTTATGACAAGAAAATGGGTTTAACTGTTGGAAGTGCAGTCAGACAAAAAGTTCTTAAAGATACAGGGAACAAATCTATCGCGAATTCAATGGGTAAACAAGGATTCTTGGACTACTGCAACATTACAGAAGAAGTCACATCGTTTGTGCGAGCATCACTCCTAGATCCCAGTCCAAACAGCAGTAGGAAAACGAAATCTCACATTCCTTCTCTTGAGAAGCTTGCAGCAGAATTTGGTCTAAGGCCACGTGACTTCGCCAGGCGGGAAAACACAGTCGCGCCGTTTCGTTGGTCATTGAATTGTCGACGAGTGTCTTTGTTACAAGGGACTGAAATGTCCGTGGAATGGTCACTCATTCCAATTTATCCTTCACTTGACTAAAAAAAAAGATTTTAAATGATACTCCACATGAAAAATTAAGCTCCCTTTATCTCCCTCTGCTGTCCCATCAAACGATTAGAAAAGGCAATTTTTTTTTGTTCACGGGGTGGGGGTAGGGCGGAAATTGGAGTTTCAGAGCCGATGATCATCAGTAAAATTGTAGACAATTTTGACAAGACTGATCTACCGCAAAATGTTTTCTTATTGGGTATATACGACAATGAAAAGCCCCAAGAAATATTTGCACGTTGCAATGTTATTCACATGTTCGTTATAGACCTTTTTCTAAATTACCGCTGTGTTCCTTGATTRMAGACTCATTTACTCAGTGTTAGCCTAGAATCAGTGTCTAAATATTCACAAATACTGACGATAAAGTAAAGAATGCACAACTTCAACAATACAAACACTTTGAAATTCCACGAACCTTCAATGGAACACGTGAATATTCCAAACAAAATCGAGGCTAAGGCCCCGTCCACACGTATCCGGAAATTTTTGTATCCGCAAATTATTTTTTGCGGATACGAAAATGTTTGCGTCCACGCGCAGCGTATTCGAATCGTTTTCACCGTCCACCCGTATCCGTTTTCGTAAAATTTGAGGATACGGACACAAAAATTTGCGGACACGTGTGGACGCAACCCGTATCCGTAAAAAAATTTGCGGATACGTGTGGACGGGGCCTAACCCTTTGCAACAGAGAACTCAAAACTGGAATATTCTATCGATCCCTGAAACAACCACTGGGTTAATGCATTTCGGGCCACAAAGCACCTGGTTAGCAGTTTTGAGGAGTAGGAAAAACAGAGACCCCGGAGAAAACACTTGAATCAAGCGTGTGACCTAACAAACTCTACTCACATGTGATATCGATCAATATWACACTTAAAACTGATACTATACCATGTGCATCCAGGAAACGTTTTCTACTGTTCTATTCAAATTACTTACATATATAACAAAGCATTTGCACCTTTATTCGCACATTTATCTATAGCTCATTTTTATCAATTTTTTCAAAATTTTAAACAATTTTCAAATATCCTTTTTTCTTACGCCCTCGTGTTTCTTTATTTCCTTCTTCCGTTTTTCCATTTTTTATTCCTGTATCCTATTTCCTTCGATCACTTTTTGTTAAATGAGATTTTCCATAAAAGTGTCGTGTCTACATTATCTTTTTGGTACGTGTTCCAAAAAAAAAAAACGTTTTTCTTTTATTCCTTTCCTGCTCGTCTTTTCCTTCTACATTAAACATTATTGCTATGCTTTTGTTACAAGAACGGAAATCCTCCATTATTCTTCTCTTTCCTTCCATTTTTTTCTAATTTCCACTTTAGTAGTGATCTTGAAAGTGACAGGTTTTATATTTGTGAACAGACTCTTGAACAGAACTATTTATCTTGGGCGTAATGTTTTTTCGTAATGTTATTTTTGTTCCTTTTTTCCGTTTCTGTCAGTACGGCATCGCGTTTCTTCTTCCCCACTGTCTTCCCGCTAACGCGAATCGATAATCTTTTGAAAGCCAAAACCATGCTAAACCAATACATATTACCTACTGTAGACAAAACATTCTTGTATACATGAATGCATATGATATTTTATGTTTATCTTTTGCGTAATTCTCTAATCATTTTTCCATTCATTTTTTAGATTTAATAGATGTATTCAGTAATGGCTATTTTTAATGTATGGCGCGTGTTAATAATATGACTGTTTAATAAACGAGCAGGGGTGTTTTATCGCGAGGTTATTAAACGGCTTCAAAAACTCATGATGTATGTTCTCATATTGTACTGAATTCTTTACAAAATGAACCAAGTTTGATAGAGAAAATCCAAGTTAAAGTTTATGCAAATGAAGACGAATCTATATCAGATATAAAACCTCCTTCGTGGTCATGATTTCTATTGTGTTTCCTTCATGAATTATTAATGATTTATAATAAAAGTCATAATAAAACCTAATGATAAACGCCACCTGAAAACTATCGAATGATTCACACGTCAATCTTCACTCCCTCGAATCRATGACCGTATAAACAATGCATAAAATTCCCTACAAATGACGTTTTATTCCTAACAGAAATACATTTGCGCCAGAGAGTTTAGACGAGAAAGATCGACGGACACCAAGAACTTCAGCTAAACAGGTAAAGTTCCCCACCACTCTCCCCTCCATTTTTTTTTTCCATAAAAAAATCATTTGCCAGGAGTTAAATACTAAGTTTTTTTCGCATTTCAGGGGAACCACTTGCGGCTTGATTTGAAGAATAACAAGATGATTTACCGATYTACCGTGGCTGCCCAATGAAATACTAAGATAAGTGCTCAATATCAATTGATAAGGATAATAAATTGACTCCGGCAGTGAGTTGGCAGTAAGCTTATCATCCCTCACGCGAAGATTACCAGAAAACGAAGAGACTAGTCGCTCTTAAGATGTCGAACACAACAGAGGATTTCAATCTTTCTCTTCCATACGCGCTTTCTTTGACAGTTGTGAACTTTTTATCGAGTATTGTTGGTGCAACTGGGAATACCCTGGTGTTGATAATCATAATGAAGTCTAGAACACTTAACGGTGCAACGGACTACCTTATTATGTCTCTTGCAATTGCTGATCTTCTYGTAACATCAACCACACAACCTTTGTTTATGTACCATATAAACTATTACAACAAAACTGATGGGACGACATTCGATGTTATCTTAGATATAACTGGTTATGTATCGAATCTTGCTTCGATAGCGTCGATGTTGGTGGTCACCTTTGATAGACTGGTAGCAATTCGTTTTCCACTTCGATACAAGAGTATTTTATCCAGAAAGAAAGTKTTTGTCGTAATCCTAGCAGTTTGGYTTTGTTCAACATTGTTTGGTATTTTCTTCAGGGTTTGTTCTCTACCAGAMGGTTTACTTTGGGGAATTTCCTCTTTGCTGTTGTTAGGAACTTTATCTTCGTATCCTTATATATTTTACGTCGCTAACAAGCAAGAAAACCTCTCCAGGAATGTAATCCAACGAATAGCAGCATCTTCCATCAATCCTTCTGAAAACCCTTCACCCGAAAGAACGAATCGATTCCGAATATTCGCCGAAAAAAAATCAGCCAAAACAGTAGCGATAGTTGTAGGAGTTTTCGCACTATGTTGGGTACCTATCTTAGTTTATACTCTCGTCAAGATGAAGACCTCTTCAAACCGAAATGACTTTTTGCCTGGATTTTTCGTAGTGTATACTATGTCTTTGTGCAATTCGGCATGCAATCCTTTTATCTACTGTATCAGAAACCAACGATATCGCACAATCCTCAAACAAATATTCAGAAGAAATATTTCAGTGACTTCAGTCGCTACTAGAACTACAGGGCTACAAATATAAAGGAAAAAATATATAATAATAATAATAATAATAATAATAATAACTTTATTAATGTCTCGAATTTCTTCTAACCGGGCACAAGCGCCCTAATAATCGGGGAGACAATTATGAACATTTTAACCAGCCCTTTTGAGAGCATTATCAAGTAGAATACCTCCCTTGTGTATATAGACGAGTTTGTCCATAAGAAGCTACCATGGAATCTCATAAGCATGATAAAA